ACTCACCATAGGGGCTTCTGGCGCCAACCCTCTTAAGTAGACACTTGGCACAAAAAAAGGACGCTTCTGGGAGAGACAAAAGTGGAAAAGTGGCGAGGGGAGCGGGGACGCTGCCCGGTTTCCCAGTGGGGCTGATTACCAGAAATGTACCTGTCCCCTCCACGGGGCTCCCCCTCTTCTCCTGCCAGAAGCCAGCAGATAGCCCCGTGCACAAGGAGGCCGGGGCAGGCGTCACAGTGGCAGGCGGGAACTGCTGGTCGGGGTGGTCTTATTTGGGGCCTTTTTTTTTTTTTTTTTTTTTTGAGACGGAGTCTTGCTCTGTCGCCCAGGCTGGAGTGCAGTGGTGCGATCTCGGCTCACTGCAAGCTCTGCCTTCCGGATTTACGCCATTCTCCTGCCTCAGCCTCCCGAGTAGCTGGGACTACAGGCGCCCGCCACCTCCCCCAGCTAGTTTTTTGTATTTTTTAGTAGAGACGGGGTTTCACCGTGTTAGCCAGGATGGTCTCGATCTCCTGACCTCGTGATCCGCCTGTCTCGGCCTCCCAAAGTGCTGGGATTACAGGCTTGAGCCACCGCGCCCGACCGGGGCTGTTTCTTTTATAATCTGCCAAGGCCAGAAGCAGCCGTCCAGGGTCCCGGAATCGCAGTGGGCGAGGGCAGCACGGACGATCCATCCTGGGACAGCTGTGCGAAGCCCAGACCCACAGAGTGCTGCAGTGGTCAGTCAGCAGCAGGCGAAAGAGCCACCTCCCCAAAAACAGTCCCCTTGTTCCCCACCTTCCGAGTCTCTGGGGGAGAACCAGTCTGGGTGCCTCAGTGCCTAAAGGGGCCCCAGGAGGCGGTCCCTCGGGCTGTGGCTCAGTGCGCAGCGGTGGCCTGGCAGGCTCCCCCTCAGACCGTGGCTGTGGCCAGTCAGGCCTAGAAGCTGCCAGGGCCGGCGCCTGCCTCCACCTTCCACGCAGCCCTGGCCAAAGTGCTGGCTTCCTGCTCCTTGGGGGCGGACACAAGTGCTTGGTACAAGGCCGGAGCTGCGGGCCAAGTCCCTCTCTCTACCTCTCCGTAGAGAGGTACTGTAAAAGAATATGCTGTAAAAGTCCCCACCCCACCCTCACTGTTTCCAAAGTGGGGACAACACAAAGCAGGACAAAACGAAAAGAAATGCCCCATCCAAGTGGCCTTTCTCTGAGTGTTACTGGGGACCATCCTTCTAGCCTCCAAGTCCACGTGGGCTCCAGTGGGGTGCACTCCAGCTGGAGCAGGGTGGCCGTGCAGCCCTCTGTAGCCCCTGGGCAGCCTGGAGCGGCCAATGTCGCCCCTGGAGGCACAGCCCGGAGCAGCCCTGAGCCCCCATGATTGCAGCCCAGGGACCCTTCCCAGCCTCTGCAGAGGGATGGGGTACCTGGCCAGAATAGAGGACCCTGGGCGTTTCTTCAACCTGTGAGGTCAGGCAGTTCTTTTTACCAAAAAAAAAAAAAAAAAAAAGTTTAGGCACTTCCCAGGGTGGGCGACTGAGGGAGTCCCCTAACCCCTCTTCAGGAGTCCAGTGGGCAAAACACAGCATTGAGTCGTGAAGAGGCCAGGCGCACTGGGCGTCAATAACTTAAAAAAGGGGGAAAATGTCAGTCCCCGAGTCTCCACGCCTTTCCTGATGAAGAAAAGAAGCGGGAAAGAGAAAGAAAAAGCACGTGGGGTTGGAAGGACAATCGCGGGAGGCTGCTGGAGTGGGGACCCCCATGCTGGCTGGCAAGGGGCTCCGTGAGGCCCAGAGTCGCTGGGGACACGGGGCACTCGTGTGTTTTATGTTTCGTTGGGTGTTTTCTTTTTTTTTTTTTTTTTTTTAGAAAAAAGCCAGTCATAAGTCAAGGCCGGAAAAAGGCTGCCTTTGCCCGTTGACAAAAGGTGCGCGAAGTGTTCGCAGAGATATACATCCCCTGATAACTGTGAAATAAAAACCATTTGTTAAAAATATTAAAAACAAACAAACAAAAACAAACAAAATAACTCCTCCGCAGGCAGAGGCCCCGGCCCGGGCTCAGCAGCGCCACCCGGCGGCAGCCGCGGGCTCGGTGTGAAGGAGAGTTTGTCCGGGCCCTTGTCTCCGTCCGGTCTCCCTGGGCCTGGGCGCTTTCAGACCGGGTTGTGCTCCTTGAGGTTGAGCTGCAGGATGGTGCCCTTCACGGCCGCGAGCACGAAGCGGATGTTCTTCGTGTAGATGATCTTGTCGCCGTCGGGGTTCGTGTCCACGAACATCTTCAGGATGAACTCCCGCGCCGCTGGGCGTCCCGCTGGGGCCCGTCGAGCTCGGGAACGGAGCCCACCAGGTGCCAGTACAGGATACTGTCCTCCAGCAGGTCCTTCTCGTTGAGGAAGAGGATGATGGAGTTCTGGAACCAGGGATACTTGACGATGGTCCGGAACAGGGCTTTGCTCTCCTCCACCCGGTTCTCCTTGTCCGACTCCACCAGCACTTGGTCGTATTCACTGAGGGCGACGAGAAACAGGATGGACGTCAGGTTCCCAAAGCAGTGGATCCGCTTCCTGGAGCCGACCGCTGTCCCCCCACATCCACCATCCTGAAGATGATGCTCTCCAGGTCGAAAGATGCCGGTGGTGGGCACGCGGCCCCGCAGCGCGTCCTGCGGGGTGGGCAGGTGGCCCGAGGTGGCCCTGCGGGCAGCGTCCGTCAGGCAGTACTTGGCCGGGTCCGAGAGCTGGCACTGGCGCCTGCGGTCGCAGCACTCCTGGGTGCCGGGGTCGTCCCGCAGGGTCCTGATGGCGCTGACGTACCGGTGCTGGAAGGTGGTCACCTTCTCCACGTCCGCCTCTCGCATCCGGAGCCACTGGCCTTGTTCTGCTCCTCCTTGTGGAGGATCTTCAGCGTCTCCATGGCCCGGATCGTGGCCTGGATGGCGGTGCAGATGTTGTGGTAGACGAGCTTGGTGAAGCCGCGCTTGGCCTCCTCCCAGTAGCCGGCGCCCTGGACGATGCGCGTCTGTTTGATGAAGATGCTCTTCCCGCTCTCGCCCCTGCGGAGCAGCAGCAGCTTGAGCTGGCGCCGGGCGTCGCGATCGTCCCCCGCAGCTGCTTCTGGATCTCGGCGTTGATCCGCTCCTTCACCTCATCGCTCAGGCAACGCGCCATCACGGACTCCAGAGTCATCGTCCCGGCCCGGCCGCCGCCCACCGGCCCCCGCCCGCCCTGCCCCGCCTCGGCCGCTGCCTGCGAGCCGCCAGGTCCCCGCTGGGGCAGCGCCCACCGCGGACTCCCGCGCTGCAGCTTAGCCTGCATTGCCGCCGCAGCCACCGCCAACCGCAGCCTCTGCAGCCGAGCGACAGCGCCCGAGTTGGTTTTTGTTTTTGTTTTTGTTTTTTTGTTTTTGTTTTTGTTTTTTTTTGAGACGGAGTCTCACTCGCTCACTGTGTTACCCAGGCTGGAGTGCAGTGGCGCGATCTCGCCTCACTGCAACCTCTGCCTCCTGGGTTCCAGCGATTCTCCTGCCTCAGCCTCCCAAGTAACTGGGATTACAGACGCCCGCCACCACACCTGGCTAATTTTTTTGTATGTTGTTTAGGAGAGACAGCTTTCACCATATTAGCCAGGATGGTCTCGATCTCCTGACCTCGTGATCCGCCCGCCTCGGCCTCCCAAAGTGCTGGGGTTACAGGCCTGAGACACCGTGCCTGGCCAATCTGAAACCTTTTCTAGCTCCTGAGACTGTGGTTCAAGGCAGGGCTATGCTTCCCCCTCCCAGCCCTGGCCCTGTGACCCCAGCTGTGCGCCTGGCACTGTACAGAAGCCTAAGAGATGCCCACTGCCAGAGCGGGGACCAAATCCTCATCTACTAGGGACCCAGGGGGTGCCCTCCCTGAGAGTTTGGCCTTTGGGCTCACTCCCAGGGAGAGACTCCTCGGTTCAGCTGCTTGATTACCCCTGTGACAGAGAGCTCATTACCTCTCCAGGCTTATTACCTCTCCAGAGAGCTCATTACCTCTGCACTCCATGGCCCACCCTGCCATCCCCTGACAGCCCTGCTCTGGCCAGCATGATTTTCCCAGTGTCCTCTACCCACCACAAACCCGAGCCCCCCAACAGGCTTGCTCTAAGGGGACAAGTTGTGCTGCAGATGGGGCCTTAAGAAGCAGTGCTCTATGATAAAGAAGGTTGACTCATGTCTGGCAGGGCTTTCTGGAGTCTGTGGAGCTAAAGACATTAGTATAATACGGAGCTGGGCTTGGTCACTGGCACTTCCGACTGCAGTGACACAGCAGCTCTCAGATGTGAGCCGTAGATCTCAGACTTTTCCAGAAGCTCAGAGTTGTTGCTATATAGTGGGCCCCCACTATTTCTACTCCTTTTCTTTTCTTTTCTTTTCTTTTTTCTTTTCTTTTCCTTTCCTTTCCTTTATTTTCTTTTATTTTCTTTCATTTTGAGACACAGTCTTACTCTGTTACCCAGGCTGGAGTGCAGTGGCGCTATCTCAGCTCACTGCAACCTCTGCCTCCTGGGTTCAAGCAATTCTCCTCCCTCAGCCTCCCAAGTAGCTGGGATTATGGGCACCTACCATCATGCCCAGCTAATTTTTGTACTTTTAGTAGAGACAGATTTCACCATGTTGGCCACTCTGGTCTCAGACTCCTGACCTCAAGTGATCCATCCTCCTTGGTCTCCCAAAGTGCTGGGATTACAGGAGTGAGCTACTGCACTAGACCTCGTTTCTACACTTTAAACCAGCTCCACGGGAGGCCCCCTGAGGCCGCCTGCTCCAATCCCAGGTAGTGACAGTCGTGCAATGTCCCGCGAGCAGGAGTGAGATATCAGACAGTTGTGTTCAGGACTGGGCAGGTCTCATGCCCAGCTGGATCCTTCAAGCCCAGCGCAGCCCCCCAGATTCCACATGTGGGGCAGCAGGGACTCCAGGCCTGAACTGTGCGGACCCAGGAGGGTCCATTACAGGGATATGCAGACCAAGGCCCAGAGGGGAGGGCTGGGCAGTCCCACAGATGCTTGGAGGGACCTCTGTGATAGCGCCGCTTGTGTTTTCCAGGCCCGAGCTGCTCACTGAGGGAGTCCAAGAGCCCATCGTGGAGAGTCAAGGTACCCAGCGTGGGGTCGCAGGCTGTGGTGTGGTCGGGCAAGGGAGAGCCCCAGGGGCCTCTGCCACCAGCCCCTCCTCCTGCTGCCTCTGTCCTGCTCCCATCCTGGCCCTGGCATTCTCCCCACACCCCCGCACTGGGTTTCCCCTAACGACGCCATCTTGGGTCCCAGGAACTGCCTCCTCACTGGGCTTCTCTCCCCCTGCCCTCCCCCCAGAGAGGGATTCCGGGGACCCTCTGGTGGACGAGAACCTGAAGAGACAGGGCTTTCAAGGTAAGGTTGAGCTCAGGGGGAGGTCTGTTGTCCCAGCACCATGACCTTGACCTGGTTTGGGCTTGGAGGGCCAGGCTGCAAGTGGGGAGGAGCTGGCCCCCAACCTCAGGGCCTAAGGAACCAGGCAAGCCAGGTTGGCAGCCCAGGCCCGGCTGTACCCTGCCAGCTCTGTGTTAGAGACTCCAGGGGAGAGGGGGTGCCTACAGGTGGATGGTGGGGGGAACTTGGGGAATGGGAAGGTATAGGGCCCAGGAGCCTGCCTGCTCCCCTCCACCCCCTTCCCCACCCTACCCCCCCCATCCCCACTGAGGTAGCTGACACGCCCACTCCTTATTCAGCGATCAGCTGTGGTCTTAGTGCTTTGAAATCAGAATAGGAGCCAGGTGCTGCACCTCACGCCTGTAATTCCAGCACTTGGGGAGGTCAAGGAGGGAGGATGGCTTGAGGCCAGGAGTTCGAGACCAGCCTGGGCAACATAGAACCTGTCTGTATATCTATTTTTAAGAAAAGAAATCAGAAGCCGAGTGCAGTGGCTCGCGCCTGTAATCCTAGCACTTTGGGAGGCCGAGACGGACAGATCACTTGGGGCCAGGAGTTCAAGACCAGCCTGGCCAACATGGCGAAACCCCGTGTCTACCAAAAATAAATAAGAATTAGTCGGGCAAGTTGGTGTGCACTTGTGATCCCAGCTACTTGGGAGGCTGAGGCGGGAGAATCGCTTGAACCTGAGAGGTGGAGGTTGCAGTGAGCCGAGATCGTGCCACTGCACTCCAGCCTGGGCAACAGAGCAAGACCCTGTCTCAAAAAAAAAAAGAGAGAGGGAAAGAGAGAAATGGTGGTCTCGGATCCTTCCGGCGCATGCTGACACTTTGTTTGTTTGTTTGTTTGTTTAGATGGAGTTCTACTGTTGTCGCCCAGGCTGGAGTGCAATGGCACAATCTCGGCCCACTGCAACCTCTGCCTCCTGGGTTCAAGCGATTCTCCTGCCTCAGCCTCCTGAGTAGCTGGGATTACAGGCATATGCCACCACACCCGGCTAATTTTTGTATTTTTTTGGTATGGATGGGGTTTCACCGTGTTGGACAAGCTGGTCTCGAATTCCTGACTTCAGATGATCTGCCAGCCTCAGCCTCCCGAAGTGTTGCGATTACAGGCGTGAGCCACTGCGCCAAGCTTTTTGCTTTTGTTTTTTCTGAGACAGAGTCTTGCTCTGTCATCCAGGCTGGAGTGCAGTGATGCAGTCTCAGCTCACTACAACCTCCACCTCCCAGGTTCAAGGGATTATCTTGCCTCACCCTCCCAAGTAGCTGGGATTACAGGTATGTACCACCATGCCCGGCTAATTTTTGTAGTTTTAGTAGAGATGGGGTTTCACCATGTTGGCCCAGCTGGTCTCCAACTCCTGCCCTCAGGTGATCCTCCCGCCTCAGCCTCCCAAAGTGCTGGGATTACAGGAATGAGCCGTCGTGCCTGGCCACACTTGGGGGTTTTTAATGGGTGAGGGTGGCTCGGTGGCTTATGCCTGTAATCCCAGCTGAGGCAGGTGGATCACTTGAGCTCAGGGGTTCGCTGCCAGCCTGGGCAACATGGCGAAACCTTATCTCTACCAAAAACACGAAGAAGAAATTAGCCAGGCGCAGTGGCACATGGCTGTGGTCCCAGCTACTCAGGAGGCGAGGCAGGAGAATCACTTGAGCCTGGGAGGTGGAGGTTGCATTGGGAGCTGCCAGGCCCGTCCGCTGTGTCTGTGGGGACTGCCTGTCCTCCACCGTCTGCTGGATCAGCTGGGCTTCCATTCCTTCCTTGTCTCCAGCCCCCCAGTGACTTCATGAAGCCCCCGCCCCCTGCTCGCCAGCCCGGGGCACAGGACTCCGCACTCCATGGTGCCCCTCCCCTCCGGGGCTTATTTATTGGTTTGGTGGTTTTCAAATGTCAACAATTAACTTAATTTCCAAGTCATCACTGTTGTGGCAACAGTGCATGTCCTTCTGGAAGACACACATCTCCATCAAGACGTTGGTGCTGAAGGACCTGAGGGGCCCACTCCACAGATCCGTTAATTGCCAGAGAAGGAGTTCCCCATAATTAGAAAATCATCTTCCTTAAAAGTCACCAAGTGCCTTTTCAATGAACAGCCCAAACCCATAATCGTTTTGCGCTTTGCCGAAAATTACGACGCGAGGCTCTCACGGATCGACATCGCCAACACGCTAAGGGAGCAGGTCCAGGACCTTTTCAATAAGAAATACGGTAAGCAGCGCAGAACCCCCCGGGAGGGACACGCAGCTGCTGTGGGCAGAGAAGTGGGAGGCTTCCCAGTTCCAGCCGAGGGCATTTCTGGGGAAACGATCCACCCCTTTACGTGTATGTCTTGAGCATTTACTATGTGCCAGGCACTATCTCAGGCACTGGAGATACTGCCGTGAATAAAACAGACACAGCCCCTGTACTCATGAGCCTTGCGGACCAATGAGGTGAGACACACTTTCAACTACTACACACAGAATTTAATAGACAGGGGCCTGGCTCGGTGGCTCATGCCTGTAATCTCAGCACTTTTGGAGGCTGAGGCAGGCAGATCACTTGAGCTCAGGAGTTCAAGGCCAGCCCAAGCAACATGGCGAAACCCCATCTGTACCAAAAATACAAAAAAGAAATTAGCCAGGTGCAGTGGTGCACACCTGTGGTCCCAGTTACTCAGGAGGCTGAGGCAGTAGAATCGCTTGAGCCTGGGAGGTAGAGATTGCAGTGACCTGAGATCGTGCCATTCCACTCCAACCTGGGCAACAAAAGCAGAACTCTGTCTCAAAAAAAAAAAAAAAAAAGGAGCATACGACATGGGAGCATATTGGTGTGGCTTTTTCTTTCTTTTCTTTTCTTTTTTTTTTTTTTTTTTTTTGAGACAGGGTCTCACCATGTCACCTGTGATCATGGTTCACTACAGCCTCAAACTCCTGGGCTTAAGCAATCCTCCTGCCTCAGCCTCCCATGTGGCTGGAACTATAGGCATGCACCACCATGTCCAGCTATTTTTTAGAAATTTTTGGTAGAGACAGGATCTTGCTCTGTTGCCCAGGATGATCTTGAACTCTTAGACTTAAGTTATCCTCCTGCCTTGGCCTCCCAAAATGCTGGGATTATGGGCATGAGCCACCATGCTGGCCTTTTTTTAATGTTCTGATCAAATAGCTCAGATTGTAATGCCTATACCTTTCCACGGTGCTACATGAGCGCTTTCTCATACCATTCACTCTCCTGCACGCACGTCTTCCCATCACACCCCCGCAATCCCACATACACACACCCCACGCTGCCTCTCACTCCTGACGGGCAGGACCCTGCCTCTCACCCACAGGAGAAGCCTTGGGTATCAAGTACCCAGTCCAGGTCCCCTACAAGCGAATCAAGAGTAACCCCGCTCCGTGATCATTGAGGGGCTGCCCCCGGGAATCCCGTTCCGAAAGCCCTGCACCTTCGGCTCCCAGAACCTGGAGAGGATTCTTGCTGTGGCCGACAAGATCAAGTTCACAGTCACCAGGTACTCAGGGGGAAGGATGAGGGTGAAGAGGCGGGACTAGCTCAGATGGAGGCTTATACCTGCTAATCCTTAGCCTTTCCCTAGGTCCTGCCCTCCCTACTGGACAAGGTGGCTCTCCTGGCACCATCCTGGGTCCTGGGGGTGGCCGGGAAGGGACTGCAGGCCAGCTCGAGTGCAGGGAGCCCTTCAGAAGTGGGACTGGTCACCCCACCATGGCAAGGGCAGCCTTCGAGGGCATCTTCAACCTGTTCAGCCACACCCACTCACTGCATCCTCAGCCCCTGGGAAAGGCATTCAGACCCCATCAGAGGGATTTGCCCAAGGTCCCAGGGCCAGCCAGGGCAGAGCCTGCACAAGGCCCAGGTCTGCGTCCTGCAGAGTGACACTGCCAGTGCCAGCACCCTGCCACATCGTCTCAGTGTCCTGCACACACAGAACCCCAGGGCAGCTTGTTAAAATGCAGATTGCTGCCATAGGTCTGGGGTACTCCCATGGGAGACCGAGGCCACTGCATCCCAGGGGTGTCTTTCTCATCCCCCAGGCCCTCCCCATGACACCCCTGCCTCTGTTTCTCTTCTAGGCCTTTCCAAGGACTCATCCCAAAGCCTGGTAAGAGGCACTGGCTGTGGAGGGGCACTGGGAATAGGGTCCAGTCATGGTGCTGGGGGCTGGAGCTAAGCCTGCTGTGGGGCACAGGTTCTGGGGGCTGGGAACAGAAGCCAGGCCCCTGCCTTTCTTTTTTTTTTTTTCTGCGGCAGAGTTCTTTTCTGTCAACCAGGCTGGAGTGCAGTGGTGTGATCTCAGCTCACTGTAACCTCCACCTCCCGGATTCAAGCGATTCTCCTGCCTCAGCCTCCTGAGTAGCTGGGATTACAGGCAACTGCCACCATGCCTGGCTATTTTTTGTATTTTTAGTAGAGACAGGGTTTCACCATGTTGGCCAGGCTGGTCTCCAACTCCTGACCTCAAGTGATCCACTCACCTCAGCCTCCCAAAGTGTTGGGATTACAGGCGTGCACCACCATGCCCGGCCTAGGCCCCTGCCCTTCTGTTTAGCCACCTCACCTGGGCGCCTGACCCAGGTAGATGGAGGAAGGCTAAGCTTGAATGTGGCCCCACATCCTGGGGAAGAGAAAGGAGTGGTGGTACCAGTGATTTCTAAGTTTTACCCAGTCTGGGTTCAGGAGGGAGGGGTCAGGCCAGGTCAGTGTGCCCACTCCTGATAAAGGGGGTCTGGTTGACCTTAGTGAATAGATGAGGTTGTCGGTGAGTGGGTTCCTAACCACAGAAGGAGGGGTGTCTCCATGGGAACTGCAAGCATGGTGGTAAGATGTGGGGGGTGTCTACCCCGCCTTCAATAGTGCAGTGCCTCTCCTGACCCTTTTTTTGTGTTTTATATGTGTGTGTGTATATGTGTGTGTGTGTGTGTATATATATATATATATACATATTTTTTTTTTTTTTTTTTTTTTGAGACCAAGTCTCACTTTGTTGCCCAGGCTGGAGTGCAGTGGCACAATCTCCGCTCCCTGCAACCTCCATCTCCCAGGTTCAGGCTATTCTCCTGCCTCAGCCTCCCGAGTAGCTGGGATTATAGGCACATGCCACCATGGCCAGCTAATTTTTGTATTTTTAGTAGAGATGGGGTTTCACCATGTTGGCAAGGCTGGTCTCAAACTCTTGGCCTCAAGTGATCCTCCTGCCTTGGCCTCCCAAAGTGCTGGTATGACAGGCATAAGCCACCATGCCCAGCCTCCTGACCCTTTTTAAGCCACCCATCCACCTCCATGTCCACCATGGGTTGTGCCCTGGCCTCCCAAACCCAGATTTGCAGAGGCTGTCCCTGCAGGGAAACATGCCACGTGGTGAGCACTAAGGACTGGCCAGAGCCTCCAGGGTGGGCCAGGCATGGTGGCTCACACCTGTAATCCCAGCACTTTGGGAGGCCAAGGCAGGAGGATCACTTGAGGTCAGGAGTTCGAGACCAGCCTGACCAACATGGTAAAACCCCGTGTCTACTTATAATCCAAAAACTAGCCAGGCATGGTGGTATGCAGCTGTAATCCCAGCTACTTGGGAGGCTGAGGCAGGAGAATCACTTGAACCCAGGAGGCAGAGGTTGCAGTGAGCCAAGATCACACCACCGCACTCCAGCCTGGGCAACAGGGCGAGACTCTGTCTCAAAAAAAAAAAAAAGTACTTAGGGTATGGTGATGTGGCGGCTGCCGACAGGCCATGGGAACCCCCAGAAGGGGGATCAGGAGGGTGAGGGGTAGTTGAAGAGGGCTTCCTGGAGTAAGGAAGGGCCTGCTTGGGCCTCAGGGGAAGATGGGACTTTGAGAGGCAGAGAGGAGGGTGGGTTGTATTTGGTGGGGCGAATGGCAGGGGTTGGGGGTCACTGGAGGCCAGAAGTGTGTTTCTGGAGCGCTCAGAGGGGCAGAATGGTCAGATGATGTTGGAAAGGTAGAGACAGTGGAAGCTGCAGCAGCACAATGCAGTGAGTGTGGCTCTGATGGGCACCCAGCTGAGAGGTCACTGGGTTTCTGGCCCTGCACTGGGTGCTGTATGCGGGTGCCTTTCACACGTATTTCGGGAGGTCCTGCTGGGGCAAGGCGGTGTTCTAGGAACCAGGGTTACAGCGGAGTGCAGACAGAGGAGGCATCTCATTTAGGCTTCATACCTAGGAGGTAGACGCTAGAGCCCACCTTACAGAGGGGGAAACTGAGGCTCGGTGTGACTGACGTGTTAATACTCTGTGTCCCAGGGCTAGCAGGTGGCATGGCCCCAGCCCTCAGGGATGGCATTGGCACCCAAGCCAGGTATTCACCTGGAGAACCAGATCCACACTTACTCATGCCACTAGTCATGCTGGGCTGGGAATATGTCCAGCCTCCTGGGAGTCTCCAAGGGTTCACCAGAGGTCACTGAGGGCTACTCCTGCACAAGAATGGGCTTTTCTCAAGCCCTCCCTCGCACGGTCCCCAAAACCTGGCCTGGGCCAGCACCGGCAGTTCCAAGGTGAATTGGAGTGGAAGCTGGGGTCTGCTGGGGGAGGCAGAGGCAATAGCAGGCCCCTTCATCTGGAGGCAGGTGTCCCAGGGCAGGTGGAGGGGTGGCACATAGTCTGCAGAGAGGCAGGTGGCTGGGGCAGTGCCCAGGAGTCAGCCTTCAGGGTCCCAGGCAGCATATGGGCCATGGGAAAGCACCATCTCGTTCAAGTCCCTGTACTCGCCTGACTAGCTGTGGGAATCTGAGCCTTCACTTCCTTATCACTAAGACAGACAAGTACACCTGCCTCGCCATGTGATCTGAATATGGAAAAAGACGGGCAGTTCCAGGTGAGCTGGGAAGACTGTTTTCCCCCAGTTGTCTTTTTTCTTTTTCTTTTTCTTTTTTTTTTTTTTTGGAGATGGGGTTTAGCTCTTGTTGGCCAGGCTGGAGTGCAGTGCCATGATCTCAGCTCACTGCAACTTCCGCCTCCCAGGTTCAAACGATTCTCCTGCCTTAGCCTCCTGAGTAGTTGGGATTTCAGGCATGTGCCGCAGCATCCGGCTGATTTTTTGTATTTTTAGGCACCCTAACATGGTGAAAGGCCAAGCTGGTTGGCCAGGCTGGTCTCGAACTCCTGCCCAGCCTCAAGTGATCCGCCCATCTTGACCTCCCAAAGTGTTGGAATTACAGGGGTGAGCCACCACGCCCAGCCACTTTTCTTTTTGTCCTCGTTTGCAAATACAGAATGGACCTTAGTCTGCAAACTCAGAAGTGTGAGACATGTATTTTTATTTTTCTAAAATTGAACTGGACTCCTACCAAAAGCCCCTAATGCATAGTGGCAGAAACTTTATCTGAGTCCATTTTGGATCATTGCTTCCCTTGGGCTTGCGCCAGGGCCTGGAACCTTCTGTGAGGCCCACCCAGTAGACATTTCCACACCACAGAGAGACTGAGCATGAGAAGGTCCATGCTTGAAGAAGGCCTAACAGCAGGATGTCAGTGCAAGGACAGGAGAGTGGAAACCGAGAGGTGAAGAGATGACTGTGGCACCCAGCAGGGAATTCCCAGGAGGGTGAGGCTTCGGGAAGTTTCCAGGGGGCAAACCCTGTTAAGAATGGCTCTAGAGCCAGGCGCGGTGGCTCATGCCTGTAATTCCAGCACTTTGGAAGGCCGAGGCGGGCAGATCACGAGATCAGGAGTTCGAGACTAGCCTGGCCAACATGGTGAAACCCCGTCTCTACTAAAAATACAAAAAAATTAGCTGGGCATGGTAGCAGGTGCCTGTAATCCCAGCTGCTCGGGAGGCCGAGGCAGGAGAATTGCTTGAAACCAGAAGGCGGACATTGCAGTAAGCCAAGATCGCGCCATTGCACTCCAGCCTGAGCAACAAGAGTGAAACTCCGTCTCAGAACCACCAAAAAAAAAAGAATGACTCTAAACCAGGAACGCTGGTTCACCCCTGTAATCCCAGCACTTTGGGAGGCCAAGGTAGGAGGATCACTTGAGGCCAAGAGTTTGAGGCCAGCCTGGGCAACATAACAAGACCCCGTCTCTACAAAAAATTTAAAAATTAGCCAGGCACGGTGGCGCGCACCTGTAGTCTCAGCTACTCAGGAGGCCGAAGCGGGAGGATGGCTTGAGCCCGGGAGGTGGAGGTTGCGGTGAGCTGAGATTGTGCAACTGCACTCCAGCCTGGGTGACAGAGCATGACGCCGTCTGAGAAAAAAAAAAAAAGAATGGCTCTGAGATTTTTTTTAGGTCTCTTACTGAAGGCTCCCATGGAAGCCTTTCCTAACAGAACCACCATGAGAAGGTGAAAATTCTGAAAGGGATTATGCTTTTTTGTTTTTGATTTGTTTTGTTTTGTTTTATTGTTTTCAGATGGAGTTTCGCTTCTTGTCGCCCAGGCTAGAGTGCAGTGGTGTGATCTCGGCTCACCGCAACCTCCACTTCCCGAGTTCAAGTGATTCGCTTGCCTCAGCCTCCCGAGTAGTTGGAATTATAGG